ACTGGAATTCACATACCCAGAGTGGAAAGATTTCACTGAGCACCTCAGATATCTAATCATGACTCCCGAAAGGCTGCACATTAGGCATAAGAAACACATCTAAGAATAAGGGCATGACCTAGGACTAAGAACAAAATGAAAGGAGACCTGCCCCTATAAAAAAAAAAAAAATAAAACCAAGTCTGAAAGGAGCAAAATAATCTGCCAGCAATTTAATTTCCTACCAAAACAAAATTCAAAATAATTTTTAAAAAGAATATGATGCAGTCTCCTACAACATATCTTTCACAATGTCCTGCATATACTAAAAAATTATGAAACGTGCAGAGAAGCAGGAAAACATGATCCACAGTGAAACATATACACACACACACACATACACACACACACACACACACACACACACACTCTCAACGGATCCCAAGATAACTCAGATGCTGGAATATATAGAGACTTTAAATATATGTTAAAAGACTTAAAGGAAAAGATAGAGATAACAAATATCAATTAATCTCAAAAAAGAAATGGAAACTATAAAAAAGATCTGAATGGAAATTCTAGAAATAAGAAGTAAAATAACTGCAAAGATTTACTTGGTGGGCTTGAGAGAAACTGAAGACTGAAGAAAGACTCAGTGAAATTAAAAACATATAAAAAACTCAAGAACAGAGAAGGACAAAAAATAACAAAGATTTAGGGACATGTGAGACATAGCTAGAAATCTAACATATGTATAATTGAAATCCAAAGGACAGATGAGAAAAAATAGTATGGAAAAAATATGTGAAGAAATAATAATTGACAATTTCTCAATTGACAAATTGAGGGAAAAACACCCCATTAACCTATGGATCCAAGAAGTTCAGCAAACTCCAAGCAGGATAAATATAAACATAACCAAATCTAGGCAGGTCATAGTAAATTGCTGAAAACAGCCAAAGAGAAAAAGATACATCATAGAATATAAATTATGGCTGACCTTTTATTAAAGATAACAGATATAACAAGACATTGGAACAATATCTTTAAAGAAACAAATCTTTGAAAGAAAAAATATCAACCAGAATTTTATATATCCAGTTGTTTGGGGACTTCCCTCTCTTACAGCTACAGGTCTGTAAAGCATTGTCATTTTACCCTTTCAGGCCTAAGATATATAATAGTTCTGCTCTGTTGACAGTCTTATGTTGTTTCACCATCCCTTGTTAGTATCCCTTAACTCGGTCCCCTCTTTTGTAACTTTCAATAAACTTTTAAAATTTACTCCAAGTGTACCATCCAATTCCTGACAAGACCCTGACTGACTCAACTCAATTATTTTAGTTTTTCACCAGATCTCATTCAAACTATGTGTGGAAGTTCTAAGGCAAGTCATGTAAATATGTGAAAGCTTAGCCATGTAAATATTTGAAATCAAATTAGGAAAATCAGGTGCTTCTCTCATTCCAGTTGTTTAAAAATATTTGAGTATATGATTTCTAGAATTGCTTACCGTATAGGAAACAATCCCTGTGATTATGTTCCATATGTTCCATGGAAGCTATTTTAATATATACTGTAAGATACAGAACCCATATTTCCTCATATGGTGCTTCAGGAGCAGCACAGTTTAGGATACAGGCTGCAGTGTCTATGTTTGATTATTAGAACACTCTCTTATAAAGCAAATATGAGATTTTGCATTACTAGAGCTCTCAAACTGAAAATATTGATCTTGAGTGTTAAGAGCACTCTTCTGAGATATAATCTTAGGTGTTATTTACAATGTGGGCTATTTTCCTCTTTTAAAGATGAAAATCTCAAGAAATGCATCAACTTGGAATGAAATTAAAACATGACCTATGGGAGAGGGAAGGACAGTTGCAGAGCATTCCACTGGTTTATCTTTGAAAACTGACGTGAAGCATAATTCCTTGTAAATATAAGTCTCCATTCAAATGGCCAAAATAATGTTTTATGTTAAAGTAACTTTGCATAAACTATAGTACACCTTAAAGAATATAACTAGCAGTAAATCAACATTTGGATCAATATATAATGACACATCTTTATGGGGACAGGGATTTACTGATAATCTGCCATTTCCATTATAAATAGCAAAACAAATATAACTAAGACATTAACCCAGGTATCAAATTATATTTTATAGCAACATGTTTCATTCTGTACCTACCATCTTCAGCTAGATAAACCACAGTATCTTCCTTGGAGTTTGGATAAAGGGGTTCTATCTCCAGGCCTGTTGGGATGTACACTGGCTCAGAATAAGGAGTCCAATCTGTAAAGAAAGAGAAAACATTACTTGAATACGACAAAAATAAAACAGGAAAATTTTATTGTATATTTTCAAATTGTTCATTGGTAGATCTAGGCCAAAGTTTAGTATTTTGTGTGGGGCCAGATTTTACCAAGGGTTCACTGGAAGTAATAATAAATATTGTCACACTGTAACAAAACCCATAACATTTCATTCACACCTTGTTCTATTATTATAGTGAGTAGTTCTTGATTATTTTGTGTCATTATAGATTTTATACTAAAGTTTCTATTTCTCCTGGATGCTTGATGCCCTTCTGACCCACCTCTGGGAATCTTGCTCCATTTTTTATTATCCCTGCATCTTCAGCCTCTTGCCTGATAATGGTTGTCACCTAAGCTTATAAACATGTTTCTTCTGTCTCCTCAAAGGCTATCCTTGGACCCTTCTTTAGCTATACCAGCTTTCCTTTTTTTCATTATTTTTAGGACCAAATTTCTTAAGCTTATCTGAACCATGCTCAAATACATATCTATATTTGACCAAATTTTTGACCATGATCTATTTGATTTACCCTAGCTGTTCCCATTTTTTAGTGGAACAATAGTTTGGCGATGACTCATTATCCTACTTTTCTTTTATTATTGGCTTATGTGTGTAAGACTGTGTGGCTCTGGTAATAAATATATTCCAATAGAGAGAGCCGGCCTCTATGATCCCAAATATAGTCACTGGAACAGTAAGAAAAAAAAGAATTTAGTGGTGATAAACAGATATAATTGGACATTTTGAGGATTATGTGTACTACTGCTTTAGCAACAAAGTGTATCTGACATAATAGGAATCAAGTCTAGCTTTAGAAAAAGCATAAACTAGAACACTGATGTCAGTATGTATCACTGCACATTTTCGGGTAACTGAACAACTCACAACCAAATAAACTGATAATAAACAATAGAGGAAATTATAACTAAAAAGTGAGCCTCTCATTAGTTGAAACCCTTAGTCAACTCAAACCAAAATTAATCGTGAATTGATAACAGCATTGATTCTGAAAATTTGGGGAATTTCAGCTATTTGCTGAATTTTGTGTATGCTTACTGTCACGAATTGAATGACAGCCAGACATTTGGGTTAAAGAATTAGAGATTTCAAAAATCTGTTTATGCTCTTATTTAACTATTTATTAATAAACAGTCCTTATAATAAAAAATATGAAACTCTATCATTAGAACGGGAGAAAGAACCTGTACAATAGGGTCCAGTTTGCAGCTTATCAAAAAGTACCTTCCTTAGGTCAAATGGTAACTCTATGTTTAACTTTATGAAAAAATGTCAAACTTTCCCAAAGTAGCTGCATGATCTTATATTCCCACCATCAGAATATGAGGATTCTAATTTCTCAATATTCTCATCAGCACTTCTTATCTGATTTTGATTCTAGTCATCCTAGGGGGTGTAAAGTGGTTATCTCCTTGTGGCATTAATTTGTATTTCTCATGAATATCTTTTCATGTGTTTATCTTCTTTGGAGAAATGTCTATTCAGATCATTCACACATTTTTAATTGAATTGTCTTTTTACTGTGAGTTGTAAGAGCTCTATATGTCCTTTATCAGATAGTTTGCAAATATTTTCTCCTATTCTTTGAATTGTATTTTCACTTTCTTGATAGTTTTCTTTGAAGCACAAAAGTTTTAATTTTGATGAAGTATAATTCACTCATATTTTGTTGTTGCTGTTGCTTTCACTTTTGGTGTTATAGCCAAGAATCCGTTGCCAAATCTAAAGTCATGAAGATTTACGTCTTTGTTTTCATCTAAGAGCTTTATAGTTTGGCTCTGACATTTGGGTTTTGACCCATTTTAAGTTAATTTTTTTTTATGGTGTGAGGTAAGGGTCAAACTTCATCTACCATGCATGCAGCTATCTACCCAGTTGTCCCAGTACCATTTGTTGAAAAGACTATTTTTTTCCCTATTGAATAGACTTGCCACCCTTGTTGAAAATCAGTTGATCACAAACACAGGGTTTATTTCTGAACTTTCAATTTGATTCATTGATCTATATGCCTATCTTCATGGTAGTACAACATTGTCTTGGTAATTGTTAGTTTGTAGTTCTGAAATTGAGAATTCAGTCTCAAATTTGTTTTTTGTCAAGATCTATCTATCTATCTATCTATATCTATTTGCTATTCTAGGTTCTTTGAGTTTCCATATAATTTTAGGATCAGTTTGAATTTCTACAAAGCAGGTAGTTAGTATTCTGATGGAAATTGTACTGAATTGGTAGATTCTTTTGGGGAGGACTGCCATTATAATCCTAACTCTTCTGATCCATGAACATGGGGGTCTTTTCATTTATTTAGATCTTCTTTTTTTCTTTTAACAATGTTTTATAGTTTTCAGAGTATAAGTTTTATATTTCTTTTCTTAAATTTATCCTTATATTCTTTTGAAACTATTATAAATGAAATTGTTTCCTTAAGTTCATTTTAGTATTGTTCATTATGAGTATAGAAATATAATTGATTTTTAAAATATTAATCTTATACCTTTCAACCTAGCCAAACTCATTTATTAGTTCTAATAATTGCTTTATTTTTAGTGGATTGCTTAGGGTTTTCTATTACTAATTCAATATCGTTACTTATTATATGTCTATTTAGATTTTTCTATATCCTCTTGAGTAAGTTTTAGTAGTTTTATCTTTCTAGGCATTTGTCCATCTCATATAAGTTATCTAACTCATTGGCATTCCTTATTAGTCTATATCTGGTTCTCATTTAATTTGGTAATTACATCCTTTTATTTTTTAGACACAGACTTCTCAGGACAGTTACATACATCCTCCAAGTTTAGAATACTCAAGGCTTTAAAACTGTTCTCAGTTATAGTAGTGAGTTTGTTCTAGACTTGAGTTATCTGCGATAAAGCTTTACATAACTTCTTTTTAACAAGGGTATCCAAAATGTAGGTACTTCTTCAAAAGGCTTCAGAGCACATACGAAAGTGCAGTAGTGCTAAGGGATCACTTAATTTTGCTTTAAGGCAGACTATGTGACTTTATTAAGCAATTGCCAGGATAAGCCATTTCCATATGCAGCATCACATATCAGTTCAAGTTAGATCGCTGTTACATAAACAAAAGAACATTTAGAAGGCCATGCAAAATTACAGTTTTTGCATACTCTGCCAGTTGCCCTCTCAATGTTCACTTTTTTGTTGTTGTTTTTACCTCTGAAAACTTGACTTTATCAGAATTGTAATGAGTTCCACTAAAACTCTCAATTTTCCAAGCTTCTTTGTGGCTAGGAGTAGCCACATAATATAAAACTGGCCAATAAGATGTAAAAAATGCTGGTGAAATTTTTGAGAAAGCTGCTTTCCTCATAAAAAGGGACAGAATCATCTGGCATGAACATTTGACCCTTTGCTTGTCTTCATCCTTTTGTATTTTCTTCCTCTTAACAATATCTCCCATAAAGCAAAATTTTTAATTTTCATAAAATCCAATTTATCGATTTTTCATTTTATTAATCATGTTTTTGGTATTGATTCTAAGAACTCCGTGCTTTGCTCTAGATTGTGAAGATTTTTTTCTATTTTAAAGTTTTATAATTTTATGTCTTACAAATAAGTCTGTGACCAGTTTGAATTAATTTTTTGTATAAAGCACTAGACTTAGATTGAAGTCTTTTCTTTTTTTTTTGACCTATTAGTGTCTAAAACTTGAAGAAAATGTTAACTTTCCTCCATTGAATTGCTTTCTCACCTTTGTCAAAAATCAGTTGGGCATGTCTATGTGGCTCTATGTCTGGATTCTCTATTTTGTTCCACTGGTCTATATATATTCCTCCACTAATACCCCAGGGCCTTAACTACTGTAGCTACATAAAAGGTCTTGAAATCAGGTAGGCTGATTCCTTCTATTTTATGCCTTCTTTTT